ATAATGATTTTTTAGGTTTTCAAGATGAAAACAACATGAATAGCTTGGTTTGAAAGTTTTAATGCTTTTATTTAAGTTACATAATTATGTTTATAATATTTTATGAATAGCGTGTGAATTTTTTTATGCATATGTTCGAGCAAAGAAAAGAACGTGAAGTGAGGAGTTATCTGAGCATCTTATGGAAGTCAAACATACCTACAAAATCAGTACGACATCTTATCTTTGACTTATTAGTGGAATGTACATTACACCTGATAGTATGCTTTATTAAATTTATTTTAAAACGGTTTGTAATAGTAACTATGATTATTTCCTTTAGTTTTGACTAATTTTAGTATTTAATCGTATTTTTGAATGAATAGTATAAATGTTATATTTTAAATGGTTTTTAAATTAAGCAATATTTTAGGAACTTATATATAATTATGATCAACTTTGAACTGCCTACTTACTGATTGAAATTGGATTTGTTTGCTGTGATTAAATATTCTTTTATGATTTTATTCGAATAAGGTAAAAAAATTAAATTGAAACAATGAAAGTTTAAAAAGAAACGAGATTTTAAGTCTTTATGCTCAGCAAATAATTGTCAATGTGACATCTGTAGCTCGTATATCAAGACATATATGGGCTATGGGTGTTAGACTTTGCCCTTGAAGTTTTCCTGAAATTACAATATGGTCATTTTACTCCATTGGTCCCGATTTAACATAGAAAATCAACTTAAATCCAACGGTCCATGTTAAATTCTACTAATTTAAGATATGAAAATGACATTATTAACCTTACTGTATCATCTTTTAAATCTCTTGAATATTCGATTCGATTATCCGATTATTTTTTCCAACTTTATCGCTTTATAGTCTTTTAATACAAACTCTGGACCAAAAATCCGTGTAACACGAAAATGCCATTCTTGGAGATAAACTATTCATTTACGAGGTTAAAATACATAACTTTTGAAAATTATAATTTGGTCCCTAAACTTTTCCAAGGTTCACTTTAACCACAAAACTTCCAATTTATTCATTTTGGTTGCTAGCCAAAATCTGGGATATTACATTGTCCTAATAGGAGGGAATTGCCTAATATATAAGAAAATGGAGGGAATGACATTCCTAGGTTAACTCATTATATTTAAAGTTACTCGTGATAATTGAAAGAGTGGTAAATAATTGAATATAAGTTTGATTTATAGGATCACAATTTAACTTAAAACTAATGAATTTCGATTAGTTGAGTCTATTTTTATAAAGGAGAAGTCAGCTGGGATCGAGCTTGAGTAGAGGATAAAAAAATTTCAATCCAACCCAAAAATAATAATATAATTTCAACAAATAATTTTATGAATAATTATTGTAATACTCTCCATCACTATTATTATTTTTAATTAAATCTTTATTTTATATTAAACCGGGTCAAATTATATTCTAAAAACTAAAATCAAATGAAATATATATATTTTATAAGACGGAGTCAAATCGAACGGGAGATATATATTTTCGAATCGAATATATATTTTACGGACTAAAGGGTTAACAGTCTATCGTTGGCACAATCTCTTACCATCAAGCCATCACCACCATTGTTTTGAAAACCGTACCGGACCAGCCGGTTCAACCGGGAATCATTGTTTAGTCCGGTTCAAATTAAATCGGTTGAACCGCTATTAGTGAACCGGCCGGAACTATTGAACCGTTCGAACCGGCTGAAAACCGGAAAAAACTGGGAAAAACCGGAAAAAAACCGCCAATTTTGTTTTTTTTTTAAAAAAAAATTAAATCAAACGACGTCGTTTGTTAAACGAGCCAATTCGAACTCGAGTATTGCTGAGCTCGACTCAAACTTTAAAAGTAAGCTCAACTCGACTCAAACTCACGAATTAAAAATTATCAAGTTCAACTCGAACTCGAAATATAATATTGAAACTTGAACTCGAAATATAATATTGAAACTTGAACTCGAAAAGGCTTGAACTCAAAAAAAATTAAAAGCTCGATTGAAGCCTAAAATTCGAGCTTAATTGAAGTGAAAAAATAGTTCACTCTATGCTCACCAAAAGACTCCATGATTTTGAATGTCAAATTACCTCTATTATTTATAGAAGTTAGTTGGGATGCTCTTCTATGTTTCTTAGCCATCTGAGATTGTTTTGTTCTCATATTTTTACTCTTTAGACTTTTGGGATGTTATTCTATGTTTTTTAGCCATGTGATCTTTTTAAAAAAAAAATTAAACCAAACAATATCATTTTATTATGATTTTTTTAGCCCCAAATTTACTTTTTAATTATAGTTATATAATTATATTTATTGTTTAATATGTTTTATCTTAAATATTATGTTGTAGTTAATTTGAATTATTTTGTTTCATTTGATTTTATGGTTTTTAACTTATATATGTTATGATTTGCTTTGAATATGACTTGTGATATACAAAATTATTTTTTATTAAATATTTTTGATATTTTTATTTAATTTTTTAAATAATTATGACGTCGTTTGATTCTTCTGACCTGTCGAACTGGTTCGACCGGTTAAACCAATAAATCGATAACATAATCGGTTCGTTAACCGATTCGATTCTGAAAACTATGATCACCACCACCCACCCCTGTTATTCACTACTACGCCCTCTCCCAGATTCATGCCCCCACAAAGTTCCACGACACTATCGCACCTCACCTCCTTCCAAAATTCTCCTACTTCGATGCCAAAATATAGCCCAATTGTTATTTCCTCTATCGTCCTAAACCGTAAAATTGTACCCTTAGCGTCCGGTTCATGAAAAAAAATTCTTTAAAATAACGTTATATTTCAATAATTTTATTTCTAAATATAATTATAAAATTAATTGATCCGATTATTCTAATCACTAATATAAATTAAAAACAATATTAACATTAATCGAGTTTGAAAATTTAATATTAGATATATAAATACTATATTATTCAAATGATAAAGGATAAAGTACATAAATTGTCCAATATTATTTTATTGAGTCTTTTAACTATTAAAAGTTACAAATGATCATTCAATTATAGAATGTTATTTTGTTGAGTCTATTAAAAGATATAAAATGGTCATTTGTATTCATATATTCTAAACTCATCATTTTCTGTTAAAAAATTAACGATCATCTGAGTTGGATGTTAACATATTAACTGAGATATGATAAAATCTGATTATAGTACATTTGAGTTGTATTTTGCGGATTGACTCTCAATTTATGTTATGTCGTTGAGTCGGTGCTTGAAACATTATGCCGTCGTGTCAGATAATACATATCATTAAAATATGATTTTTATATCTCAATTAATAAATTAATATTTAACTCAAACGAACGTCAATATTTTAAAAGAAAAAGATAAATTTAGAATATATAAATAATCAAATGATGATTTTATAATTTCAAATAATTGTAGGACTTAATAAAACATTATTCTATAATAAAAAAATTATTTTATAAATTTTAACAATTCAAAAGCTTAATAAAACAACACGTATAATTAAGTAAACATTTATGTATTTTACCCGGTATTAAAATCATCTAAATACGAAGGCATGGAACTGTAGAAGTGAGAAATGAAGATATGCGAATCTGGAGAGATCAAAAGGTGAAGCAATTATCCATATCGGATGCCACGCGTACGCATCTCCTGGAGCAGGGGTCATCACAGGACTAATCGATACACAGCCGCCAGCTCGCTATGCCACCAATCACGTGTACCCATATTCTTTGACTGGTGGTAGTTGTTAATGTCACGTGATTCATCCTACGTGTCGTCGTACGAAATTCTGTCAGATTGGGTCTTTTACTCGTACGGATCATATGGTAGATTTTTTGTCCGTTTGTGGACGTGGTGTCATCACAGCCGTTCGTTTCCTTAAATCGAGGACATTTTGGATTCTAGTGCTCCGACGTGTACTTTCCGCTTTCAGATCAACCGTAAATTTATCTTATTGGCGGATTTTATCATGGTCAAATTTAAAATACGGTATATTAAATATAATTAATATTTAAGGTTCTGTAGTCTATTAAATCACAGATAAAATAATAAAGAAATTATGTTGAAATTTTCAATATGATATTCTTTTTTTATTTGATCACTTATAGTTTTTCTTATTATTATTGTGTTCAAGCTTCCATTGATTCATTAAAAGAAATGGTTAAAATGTTAAATGGCACTAAATAAGTTAAAGCCACCCTAAGCCAAAGCGTTTAACTTCATTTTCTAATCCTAGGGAAATATCTTATATACCACCCAACGCTTACAGTAGAATAAAGGTGCTTGAACTTGCTAAACTACGCGGGGAGGTATCCGTGTCGCAGCCGCTAGATTTGGCGGTTCTTAACTGCTAGGTAATTCTTCGCTTCGTGGAGAATTAATTACACGTGGCAGCAATGCACGATTCCGAATCTTCAGCACATCTGCACTCCGTCCACTTCTCCTTATCCACAAAAACCGAATATATCCAAATCTCGAGATTGTCCTTCTTTGTCACTAGTTTTTTTTCATTTAACATAATTCTTTTTTGAAGATTAATAATGTAATTTTTAATGAAAAATTAATTTCACAATAGTTGTTAAATTGAAAAATAAAACTCCTTAAGCTACTGTTAAGGATAACCTAAACTTATGATATTTAATTTCGTTTGTTCCGCGTTAAGCGACAACTTCTCCCAAAAATATCCCCACAGGTCCCCCAAACAAGTTTTCAATTCACAAGAAGGAAGATTATAAAATGACAGGCCGTGATGTCTTTTTCTCACAGCCAATCACAAAAAGATAAGCACAAATCTTCTATTCCCTGGGACCCACGGATGCCAAAGAGAAACGACTACAGCTAATGACTTGATATCAACGGCTACGAGAAGCCCATCAGAAATTGTCACACGGTCACATCTACCGTCGTTTTTTAATAGGCGGAAGTTTTTTAACTTAACCATGGTTAGTTCGAACAACTACGGGTTAAAAATGCAGTTTATAACGGAGAGAACCGTTCCTCTTTTGGAATCAATGAACTATGTACAAAAATGTTGATCGGAGAACGCAACCGGCCAAATCACACCGTCAAGATCACCGCATGGGATCCATTCAATGATCCAACGTCTAGCTTTTCTTCCGTTAATTATAACTGTATTGCGCCGTCGAGTCCTTGCCCCGTCGACTACCTCTCCGCCTTACGCCGTTACCTCCCGTCAAATGACTTGGAGTCCGATTCGTTTAGTGATGACTCCGATTTACCCGTCGATGCATTTTCGTGCGATCATTTCCGGATGTACGAATTCAAGGTGAGGAAGTGTGCTCGTGGAAGGTCACATGACTGGACTGAGTGTCCGTACGCCCACCAGGGTGAGAAGGCCCGACGGAGAGACCCGAGAAAATTCCATTACTCTGGAACGGCCTGCCCCGATTTCCGGAAGGGAATCTGCAACAAAGGCGATTCTTGTGAGTTTGCTCATGGTGTTTTCGAGTGTTGGCTCCACCCGGCCCGTTACCGCACTCAGCCGTGCAAGGACAGTACCAGTTGTAAAAGAAGGGTTTGTTTTTTCGCTCACACACCGAAGCAGCTCCGACTCTTGCCCCAGCAGAGTCCGAGGGGGACTGGGTCCAGTTCAGGTGAGTTAGATTACGTTTGTTCGCCTGTACGTCACCGTTTAGACTTCGACTCTTCACCTACTTCCATTTTGGCATCACCTCCGTTATCCCCACCGTCCGATTCACCTCCTATATCGCCAAGTGACTCATTTTACTCGGTGAGCGAACTCACTACTTCCATGCATAGCATGCAGCTTGGTAAGGGTAAAAGGAGCGGTGCTTGTTCTAGGGACCTGGAAATGGGATCGGGTTACGGTTCCCCTAGGGGCTCCACTCTGCGGCCTGGATTTTGCAGGTCTCCGACAACCCCCACCCGTTCTGGGTTAGGCCAGTTTGATCTCTTGGAACATAACTCTTTCGAAGAGGGATACCCAATGGAGAGAGTGGAGTCTGGAAGAGATTTGAGGGCTAGAATGTACGCAAAACTAAGCAAGGAAAATCCCCTTGGAGTTGAATTAACCGAGTTGGATCCTGATCTCGATTGGGTATCCGAGTTGGTAAAGTGAGTTGGATACTGGGAAACACAGCTTTCTGTTTTGATTTATTTCGTGAATTCTTTTAATATAAAAATGGGTGGCCGTAATCGAAGGTTCTGACTTTTGTGAATATGAATATGTTTTCTGATTTTCGAACATTTGCACTGTAAATAGAGGAGGAAGAATGAGGGATTGAAGGAGGGATTGAAGAAGTCTCTATTTTGTGGTGCGACTGCTTTTCATTTTGGTTTAGTTTCCAGGAAATGGAAGGGAATTTTAAAGACAAGGAAGTAATTAGTTTATCAGAGGCCAAAGCTGCTGGAGAATGGGTTGATCATTTTGTTTATTGTGGAATCGTGATTATCTCTGTAATTTCCATTGTTATGTAATATATATTTCTTCCAGTCTGTGTTGTTTGATAAATTATTATTTAGAGCTGGAAACGAACCTTTTTTGTTCGTAAGAAGTTTGCTTGAGCTTCGTCCTGAATGGTGGTGATAAAATAAAATGGAGTGTTTTCGTTTTCATGTACGAGTGGAAGTGGGGAAGACGTTATCTTTGGAATTGGGTTTCGTTGGATTCTCACGAGTATGGTTTAAAATAACAATAGTGGAATGGGGTTGATTATAAATTATTTTAATTACAAACTAATAAATTTTAATAAAAAAAACACTCGATCAATTCCTATATATTTGTAATATATATTCACTATTAATCAATTATTGAATTTTATCTATTATAATTTATTTTTATTAAAAACTAATAAATTTTAATAAAAAGCACACAAATGATCTTATCACAAGGTGTCATTTTATTGAGTTCTCAACTATCTATATACGATGTTTTGTTAGTCATTCAATTATTTAAAGTTATAAAATAGTCTCATAATTATTTATATTCTTAAACTCGTCATTCTTTGTTAAGTAACTAATAGTTATTCGAGGTGAATATGAATATGCTAATTGTAATATGATAATTATTTGAGATTTTTAAATTATATTTGATCCTATCTTATTTAATATGTTATCGTATAACCCATATTGTAGTTAATGTTTTTAATGAAAAAATAAGACTCTAAAATCTATGAATAGCCATAGTTTTATAACTTTTAATAGATGAGTCTCTTAACAAAATAATCCCATATAATTAATGGATAATTTTATAAATTTTAATAGACTTAAATGTACTATTATCCCCAAAATTATACCGTTTGTATCGAGTTGTTCACTAAAGTATTTTCGGGATATTTTGCATATGTAAGTTTAAATGGTTACTTTGTTTTCTTTAGTATGTTAAAAACACGTGGATAAATTACATATTTAATAATTCAACTATTTATGTGGTTCTATTTTGGTCAGCCAACTATTTTTAAAAAACAAATCATCACTAAACGTACATTTTTGTTTCATTTTGGTCACACAATTCGATTAAATTTGATTTTTAAATTTATAATACATAAGAATTCATTTATATCACATATGTTTCTTACTTAACTCATAAATTTAATGTATGGTAATAAATAATATTATAAATAAATAATAAACACATATTTAGTTGTTTGTACTTCAAATTTTAATAAAAGAAATATTAAATGTTAAATTAAAATATCATAAATATTTTAAGAAATTAAAATATGAATGAGTCATCATCCATTTCGAAATTAACTATGAGGAACTGAAGAACATGTGCCACTATCTCAGTATCCATGTCTTGCGGTTCTTTAAGTAATATAGAGGTGCTGAAGGTCGACTGTGCTGTGCAGCTTCAACTGAACCAATACTACTGTAAGTTTTCCGACGTCGTTCGGGTTAGTTACTCGTTAATCTATCTATAATGTTTGATCCGGATCATATACAGAGATAAAAAAAATTAAAGATGCATTGGCAAAGCACGGATCGAATCGATGCAGCCTCGCCCTGCGAAAGATTTGGATGAGTCAGACCTGACGAAATTAGCATATGACGGTGAATTGCCTCCCTTGAAGAAAGGACCAATGGATGATTTGGTGATCATGAGAAGCATGGAACTTGTTGGTTCGTTAAACAATGAATCGGATGAAGCTCGAAAAAGAGGGTGCTCTGCTATAGCTGGCTCGAAAAAGCATGGATAATGATTAGTTCATATTTTATAAAAAATGGCTGTCCCTTTTTTTCATATGTATAGATAAGGGGAGGTAAGATAGTAGGCTACCCTCAACACCAGGTTGAGAGCACTTCCGTAAGAGACCTCCGAATTATAAAATCCTCCGTGGACTCGATCCACTACCTCAAGGTTAAGAACCTTGTGTCTCTACCAACTGGATGGTCATTTCAATTAGTTCATATTTTGATTTCTTCAAATATTTATGATAGCTTAATTTAATATTTTTTATTAAAATTTTAATTACAAACAACTAAATATGTTGTTTATTATTTACGTTCTAATATTATTTATTATTATATATTAAATTTACGTGTCGAGTAAAAAAAATATATGATATAATTGAATTATTATATATTATAAATTTTAAAAATAAATCTAATCGAATTTAGTGACTAAAACTAAACAAAAATTTAAATTTAATGATGATTTTTAAAACAAAAATAGTTGTCTGACCAAAAGTAGAACCGCATGAATAATTGAGAGACTAAATATGCAATTTATCCACGTGTTTTTAACAAGTTAAATATTGGGGAAAATGAGATAACGATTTAAACTTTAAGGAGTAAAACGTATTAAAAAACACTTTAGGGGACAATTCGATACAAACAGTATAATTTAGGAGCAATGATACATTTAATCCTTTTTAATAATTAGATACCGATAAAGCATACCCTATAATTATGAAATTATTTGTGTACTTTACTTCAAATTTTATATAATATAAATTATTTTTATTAAAAAAATAAAATATTAAAGGGGTTAAAATATCTTTTTCGAAAACTGTCAAAGTCTTTAAATAGGCGGCGTTTATTTTGGAAGGCATAAAATTACAATATTCCCTAGAATTATAGTTAAGTGTTTAGGATTTGTGTGTTTGTGTTTAGGGTGATTTATAATTTTTTGGATTTAGAGTTTTTTTTAAATATTTACTGTTTTGATTTTTTGATAGTATAATTAAAAATAATTAACCTTTTATATCAAATTCGAACTATTCATGAAATTATGAAAAAAATATATAAAACATACCAAAAACTGAAATCAACATATATAATAAAGAAAAATATAACCATAACAAGCACAAAAATTAGTGAAGATAGAAATTAAACATAATTCATGATGATTAAACAATTCACATAAAAAAAGGCCTCAATGATTCAATATAAATTTAGATATTGAATGTAAGAGTGTGTCTGTAATTGATTTTTCAAAAATAAATTCTAGAGATTAAACTACTGCCTCTAGAAAATAAATAATGGAAAATATTTTATGATATTTGACTATTGTTGTGTAATTTATTTTCCATTATTTGATAGTTTTTTCTAAATATTTTTTTGAAACATATTTTTAATGAAAGAAACACATTAATTTTTTATTGATTTTATCTTCTTTTTATCAAGTTAATTTTATTATTACTAAAAATATCACTCACGGTATTTTATAATTGTAGATAATATGAATAATTTATGTCGATTGCGTTATAAATATATTTTTTTTATTAATTATGAAGATATTTATATTTTTTTGTTTATCCGACTTTTTAAAAAAATATATACTTTTAAGTAATAAAATTCAAGGGAATAGAAAACATGAGAATTGACAATAATCACAAATATATTAACATGTTATTGAATGATAAAAAAAATAAAAATGAACCAATATGAACTCAATTATTTTTCATCATCTCACGTTACGATAATAAACTTTATGTTTGGCAAAATTGTTAATTGAACCCAAAAACTATAGCATCGGTTCATTACGATTTACATCCAACACTTTGTAAAATGTCGAGCACAAACATCATTGAATATGAAATCTTTCCTTCTTCCTATAGCTTTCAAGTGTCGTTTGTTCAACCTTTCAAACTATGTAACTACTTCAATATATGAACGACTTACATAACAACATATTTCAAGATAACATATAATATGTTTTCTTACATTAAAATATACTCCAACATAATCTTGATTTATAATAATATAATTCAATTTAGTATTTTTTATCATATTTTCATAAGGGTAAATTAATTGAATGATACCTAATTATGGGGTTGGGGTCAACAGGATCACCATTTTCAAAATTTCGTCAATATAACCACTTAAATATTTAATAGGTTTCAATATAGTCACTTATCGTTAATATTTGATGGAAGCGCTGATGTGCCATTTAAAAAAATTGTTATAATTGTATATTTGGTCTTCAGTAATTACAAATTCTATCAATTTAGTCTTAATTTTAATATAATTTAAAAATTAAACAATCCAACCAGGAGGTGCCATATGTCAATCGACTATTTTGACACATTTCAATAGTGAAACATGTCACCACCAATTGAAAGAGAAAAAAAATAAGAAGAAACATTTGCAATTTTGAGGAAATGAACCATGCAGTGGCCACACTTCCACCAATAGTCTAACCCCAACATTTAATTTTAAGTTATACAATGTTTTATTTATTTGTTTTAAATCATATATATATATATATATATTAAAATATTTAAAAATAAATTTGATTTTAAGTTAACTTTTTATTTATAATTAATTTTTAAAAAATTATATTATGAATTTTATTTCAAATATAACTACATTAAAAATTTATTTAAAGAATCCAAAGCCACAAAATAAATTAAATTATAAAAAAATATAATTTGAATCTTAAATCTTTGTCTATTTTTTAAAATTATTTCTCATTTATTTTAAATTTATAATCTTTTAAAATTAATTGTAAAAAAATTTAATTTAAAAGCATAAAAATATTAACCTCATATATGTAAATTATAGTTAATGAAATATTTAAAAATAAAAATAAGCTTAAGATCTTTATTATTTTTAAATGACTAAATTTAAAGTAATGAGATTTTTTTTAAAAAAAAAAGACAAAAATTTAAGGTAAATATTATAATTTTTTATTTAATTTATTTTTGTGTTTTCAGATTCTCTAAATAAAATTTTAATATAATTTATATATAATTATTTAAAAATTATAGTAAAAAATAAAAATAAGAATTTATATACTCCCA